CAAGCTGCTTTCCCATGTGAATGGCTCGTCTTGGCTCACACTGCACCATGTCCTAAATCCTCTTAAACAAGCTGCAGCTGGCCTTAGTGAGCCCCAGCCCTGCAACTAGCAGACTAGATTCACAGCCTGGCTTTACCTGGAAATCTCCAAGCCCAGCACAAGTAGCAGCCATCTCAGATTGCTTTATAGCTCAGGCAGGATGGCCCCCAGGCAAGACACTGGTGGGGGCTGATCTGGCCTGCACTACCTGGGAAACCCCAGGGCCAGTGCACCCAGTGGACAGCTACAGCCTACGTTGGAGCACTACCACCCCGCCCCTGCACAGCTGATCCTCCATGGAGGGTGGAGGTTGGCTGTCAGTGCTCACAGCCAGTCCTTGCAGCTGACTGGCCTGGGTAAATCCCTCCCACTGACCTACTAACAGCAACCAAGGCTCAACTATAGGAGGAGGGTTTACTCAGCCCACATGAAGGGCACAACTCAACTACCCAGCTTGGGTGATAGGGGAGGCTGTGCCACAGGACCCTACAGGACACCTACTACATTGGGCCAGGCTACCAACACATGGAGTCAAAGCAGCTCTACCTAATGCATAGAAGCAAACACAGGGAGGCCAATAAGAAGACAGAGAAACAAGGCCCAAATGAAAGAACAGATCAAAACTCCAGAAAAGGAACTAAACAAAATGGAGATAAGCAATGTATCAGATGCAGAGTTCAAAACATTGGTTATAAGGATGCTCAAGGAACTTAGGACCTCAACAGCATAACAAAGATCTAGTCAGAAATGAAGGATACACTAACTGAAATAAAGAACAATTTAAAGAGAAACAACAGTACAGTGGATGAAACAGAGAATCAAATCAATGATTTGGAACACGAGGAAGCAAAAATCAACCAATCAGAACAACAAGAAGAAAAACGAATCCAAAAAAATACCAGGACAGTGTAAGCAGCCTGTGGGACAACTTTTAGCAATCCAACATTTGCTTCATAGGAGTGCCAGAAGGAGAAGAGCAAGCTATTGGAAATCTATTTGAAAAAATAATGAAAGAAAACTTTTCTAATTTGGTGAAGAAAACAGACATGCAAGTCCAGGAAGCACAGAGTCCCAAATAAGATGGACACAAAAAGGCCCACTCTAAGACACAGCATAATTAAAATGACAAAGGTTAAAGATAAAGAGATGGGGGTTGTGAGAGAATGGGTGAGAGGTAAGGTGATTAAGAAGTACCAACAGGTACTTACAAAATAGCCATGGTAATGGAAAGTACAGTATAGGGAAGGGAGTAGCCAAAGAACTTACATGCATGACCTGTGGACATGAACAAGGGTGGGGGGACTGCTTAAGGGAGTTAGCAGTGCTGGGTGGAGGGGAGCAAAGGAGCAAAAATCAGGACAACTGTAATAGCATAATTAATAAAATATAATTAAAAAATAAAAAATAATGTCTTCATGTGATAATATACAAGTTTATCTAAGAGAAAATATTTTTGTAATTGTGACACAGTAATAACAAAGTATAATAAACTCTCTCCCTGGCTTGATTTGGAAGTGGGGTATGCTTATTAACTAGATAAAGTGATTCATAGTTACTCTACAATAAAAAATGTATCTGATTATCCGATAGTTCATAAAGTATTTTCATATATATCATCTCAACCAATTCTTAAAAACACAAATTGTAAAACCTCACTGAATATAATATTTGATGATCTACTATGAATAGTAATTGTTGCACTTCAATTTCTAAAATATTACCAGTTGATATAACACACTATCAGATAAAAAAACCTGTACCAGGTTAATAAGCCTCATGGAATGGGTGGTTTGTCACTGCATGGTGCTCAGATTTTATTCAACTTTACAATCCTCACTGGAAATGCACTATAGGAAAGACTTGATTTTCAACAGCATGTTTGGGAGTCATCAGCTATGTTTTATAAATCCCACAATACACTGTGTATGTCTGTGTGTGTCTGTGTGTGTGTGTATATAATTATATACATATATATAAATACATTTATTTTTAACAGCTAAACATACAGGAACAGTGTATACCAAGGATGTCATTTGAATGTGAGAAATAGTATATTCTCTTTTCTCATTAGGTAATTCAATACATCTCTATTTCTCATCTTTTAAAATTTGTGTTTGTAAGTGCAACACTCTGTTTTTAGGAGAAGCATTTTGCAGGGAAGAAAATGCTGGTCAGAGGAGAACAGAGGTACTTAGAAGGACAAAGGAGGAAGAGGTTTAGGTTCCTCGTTCATGATTCTCTTATGCTGTCGTCCTTTCACTCCTGTCTTCTCACAGCGCCTGTACCAGACTCCCCCTTCTGCAGAAGGACACCTGTCTTTGATTTGACAATGTGACACATATTAGCTATAATTCTCATTATCATTCATTTAAAGCAAAATTGAGTATATGTGCTTTTAAGAAGGTACAGCAAAGAGCTTATACAGCAAAAGTGTATAAACAAGTATATTACCTATGTAATTGCCTTAGCTGAACTTAAAGCTCTGATCTTTAATTGCCTGATTGAACTGATCTAAAAAGCTACAATTTTTTAATCAAGGAAAAATTAAATAGCTTTTTGGGGGAAAAAGGCCTCTTTAATCTTATTTTTATGGAATTCAAGTTATTAAATATGGACAAAATCCTCTAAGATATTAAATTAACAACTCAATCTAGAGTAAATTTCTCATTACAATGCTTTATGAAAGTCTTCAAGAAAACCTCACTTATTCCACTGTTCAATAGGAACACATGCTTTTAAATCCAGAAGGTAGAAGTTTCCACAAATAACTAGGAAACTGAAAAGCTAAACATATACACATATTTAAGGAGGTATACTGCCACAGCATATCACTTCTATAGTTGGCTGCCCATGATTACTGAGGAATAAGCATTCACTTGCACTGTAATTCGTTAGCCTTTCCATCTAGACAAATGCAGCTGCACACTCACTCACTGGTATTTATTTAAAACTAAAATCCCTTGAGAGGGGTTGCTGGCTCACTGCCACTTCTACTGCGCAGCCCCTCGCAGGCATTTTATTGTGGGTTACTCTCTGTAGGAGCTGGGTCGGTCAGCATAAACTGGAAAGAGAAGTACAAGCTCAGGATTCCTTTAGGAAACCTCCATGTTCTCAGCCAGCCAAATCATTAAGGCCCTTGTCTGTCACTGATCAAAGAACCTTTTCTCAGCCCAAGCTGCCTCGGAGCTGGGAAGAGGGCCCTCCCTGCCTCTGAGGGGCTCTGGTTGGCACCACTTGCCCGCAGTGAGTATAGGGTGGTTGTTCTGGAAATCTCGCCAACACTTTGGAGTTTATTTCTAGATCCAGACATAAATCCATTTGAAACAGGACTATGAAGATCCCCTTTCAAATGAAAGATTCAATTATTTCTCCAAAACAAAGAGTAAAACTAAAACCAAATAATTTGGACACAGGAAATACTAGAGGTATAGCTATTTATCAGTATCTACTAATTTCTGATTTTAAAAAAGAAAAATAAAAAAATCATTGCAGAATAACTAAATAGTATTTTCCCATCTACTCTAGTACTTAGTGCTAAGAGTCCTCACAGATTCATTATGAGCCAGAACTGTGCTGTAGTATTTCCAGAGTATAGGATGGTCCTAAGGATCAATTTAATAACAACATTTGCACGTCCATGGCACAGTCCTTCTAATGAAAGCTTAGCTGTTGAGAACTGATGACTTCCTTCAGTTCCTTTGTCAAATGAAGAGCAGATGCCCATAAAAATCAATCAAACAACAAGAACTGACCACTGTGTTAATTCCTATTAAAGTGGCTATAACCACTTCATGAGTTAGTGAATGTGTGGAGGCGGGAACACAGGGAATAGAAGCAATACAAGCCACACAAGAAATACCATTTCTTTTCATCTTGGTGGTGAAAATGCTCCATTTTTCTCCCACCCGCCAGATGTGTTTAGATGCTTATTCATACCCAGGAAGAGTAATACTAACTCTCCCTAAGCTTACATTTTACACTAACTAACATTCTAGAAATAGAGTGAACTGGCTTTAAAGAAAAATTTGGTTTACGATTCCAATTAATCAGCATAAATACCTTTAAGAACTGAACTGATACTTTGTCAAAATTTACGTATCCTCTTCAAAAAAGGAAGGAGGAATTAAGAAATTGGTATCACCAGGATATGAAAAACAAAAAAACAATCCTTAGTGACAGATGTGGTACTAAAATTGAAGATTTCAGTTGTTTTCTCTTATAGTTTCTACCTTTTCTTAAAAAAGAAACAAAAAAAAAACAAACAAAAAAAACCTTCCTTTAATCACATCTCGTGTGTATGCTGCTGCCTTCCCTAAATGTGCATTAAGCTAGGCTGAACAGATGGAGAAAATTAAACAGGACTGTTAGTAACACTAGGCCCTGAAGTTGCTTTGTTATAATTTGTATCTCACTTATTAACTTGCTCCAAATGAACTCAGACATTTTTGGGGACATTAAAAAAATGCAAAGGGAGGTCCCTTTTGCAACATTCAACAGTTATCTGGTCATTCTCCTCACGTGTCCCGTTAGTAGAGTAGGAGACTGTAACTTCCCATGCTTTCACCAGTTCCTTATTTAAAGGTTCCCTTCCAAGGTATGTGAAACAATGTCTTAAGGAACTGTGTATGATGATGTCTGAAGTGTTAAACAGGGGTGCAACTGTACAGAAGTGAAGGTTTTGCATTAGCTAGAGTTAAGTAAGAAAAATAAGATCCTGTCATTTTAAGATAACATGAACTACATTTTTACCTGTTTGGTAAATATTATCCACAAAAAGACAATACCAAGTGTACAATCTGAGTCAGAGCATTTGAGTGAGAAAATCAGAAAAATAACTTTTTTGACTACCAAATATAGTGCTGGTTTAAATATCGTATCACTTATTCATTTTAAAAGTCAAGGGTCCAAAGAGCTCCCCGCCCCACTCACATTAAGTCCAAGTTTGCGGGCTCAGCACATACCTCTATGTAAAATCTTCAAGCTCCACAAGTAGGTAAGGCCTTTAACAACCTAAAATCGAGAAAGACAAAACAACACAATGATGGTTTTTATAAGGAACATTGTATATCTAAATATATAATCTTAGCCATAATTCTTTTAAAAATAGTTTATTTATTTATTTTCAGAGAGATGGTAAGGGAAGAAGAAAAAGAGGGAGAGAAACATCAATGTGCGAGAGAAACATCAATCGACTGCCTTTTGCCCGCCTGCAGCCAGGGACCTAGCCCACAGTCCAGGCTTGTGCCCTAACTGGGAACTGAACTGGCGACACTGAGCTTTGTGGGATGAAGCCCAACCCACAACCTCACTGGCTCAATTCAAATTTTTCCTTGAAAACTCTGTCAACCAATAAGCACCTCCCACTTCTGTGTCAGGTTCTGTGAGAATGCCTAGTGTACAAGCTTCAGGTTCTTTCTTTTACTGAAGATAAAAGAAAAGATAAGGTGTGAGAAAATGAAAGGATTAAGTGTCTGTGCATAAAATGACCAGGAAGGACATCTACCAAGTTCTTAGTGAAGAGGGACAGAAAAAGGGGACAAAGACCTTCATTTTTTTATTTTTCTGTACTTCTATATATAAAAATTTTTTCAAAAGTCATGACATTTATGACCAAAAAGGGGACCTTTTTAAAAAGTTAGGTAACTAAAGCAAAAAGTAAAAAAAGAGATCGTTTTTCCTGCCTATAATCCAGAAGCTTTACCATGGTGCTGGGCTTTGAGTACCTGACGTGAAAAAAAGAGGAGAAAGCATTCAGGCCAAGGTAAGAATATATAGTCAAGTACTAGGGGAGTATACTCTTCAAAAATGTCAAGGTCCGGAAAGAAAACACTGAGACACTGTTCCAGATTAAGAGAGATTAAACACACATGATTGCTAAATGCAATGCACAGCCCTAGACTGGATGCTGAACAAGAATTTTTTTCCTTTAGTCTACGCAGATATTATTGGACAATTGGGAAATCTGAATAAGGAATGTTGACCAGAATACAGTAACGTATCAATGCTAATTTCCTAATTTTGATGAGTACACAGTGATAATCTAAGAGAACGCCCTTGTTCTTAGGAAATGCACACCTGAAGTAGTTAAGGGCAAGAGACCATGGTAACCACAACCTATTCTCAAATGTCTAAGGAAAAAATATGTAGTGGTTTCCATCTGCATTTGGAAACCCACATATATGAAGGGCCAACTTAAATTATACTCATATTTTTGTCTACACAATGGTCAGTGCCCTATGTTGTTCAATGGTCAACTGTGTGCAAATGAAAGGGGGTTAACTGTTAACAACTGCAGAGTCTGAGTGAAGTATCTGTGTGAATTCTTTGTATTATTCTCACAATAATAATTTTCTGAAAGTTTTAAATAATTTCAAAATAAAAAGTGTCCCAAAAATATTTTAAATGATATTGGGGCAACTAACAAAGTAGCCCATTTGGCTGGTGCAAGTAGCAGTGTGCAATCATGCAGACGATACTCAAAAGGCAAGTCAAGGAAATAAAGTAAGAAGTTGAACAAGTGAATTAGATTTAGATTTCAGAATTTAACAGCCAGAATTAAGAATAATTAGTCATGGGGTGGTAAACACACAATACAATATACAAATCATGTACTGAACAATTGTACACCCGAGACCTATATAATTTTATTAACCCATGTCACCCTAATAAACTCAATTAAAAATTAGTCAAATAAGATACAGAAAAAGAAGTATTTCTAAGACATTAAGTACAGGGATTACATGTGCTACCTTCTAGGTGGGAAATTTAACCATTAAAAGTTTTCAAAATCTTCCTATAGAAATTGTTGTAAAAAGAGACGCACACATTTGTATTTACACCCACTAACTCTGTACCCACATGAGTGTGGGCTTGCCAATTTCAAGGCTGACTATTCATAATTAGGTATCAGATACAATAAATGGACACCTATCACTCAAATCTACTATAAGAATTTAAAAGCACCTATCGTTGTAAGCAATTTCAGGTGGGCCAGGACTGTAAGAACAGGAAGAGCCAGCATTAGGAGAAGTTACTGAGTGAATTACAGCTCTTGGAGTGATGACAAGAGGGTTGGGGGCTAAGTATGCAAGGGTTTCAGTCGGTCAAGAACGATGACAAGTAACATTAAAAACAGAAATGCAAAGGGAGAAACCCAGTTTCCAAACAGTAAAGATCTAGAAGAAGATAAAATCTATGTCGATTAATGCTGAGCAGAGGTCAACATATTTTAATTGTTCTTATAGAGTAGAATGCACTGCTGAAAGATTTCCTACCACAGTATAACCAGTTCCACAATGTTTGTCTATTTTAAGGGAACAGAATGCATTTTTATAGCAAATGATTTCTTCCAGGGTTTAGGATAAGTGGCATTACAATAAAATACACGTTTTCTAAACAGTAAGGCCATAAAAAAAGAAAATACCAAAATAGTAATATGATAACTTGAACACAAAAGGAGGAAACAGGACAAAAACATTTCCTTAAATGCTTACAAAAATACCATCAATAATATAGTTTAAAATATATTTTATTGATTATGCTATTACAGTTGTCCCATTTCCCCCCTTCATTCCCCTCCACCCTGCACACCCCCTCCCACCCACATTCCCCCCTTTAGTTAATGTCCATGTGTCATAAGTTCTTTAGCTTCTACATTTCCCACACTACTCTTGCCCTCCCCCCGTCTATTTTCTACCTACCGTCTATGCTACTTATTCTCTGTACCTTCTCCCCCCTTATCCTCCTCTTACTCCCCTGTTGCTAACCCTCCATGTGATCTCCATTTCTGTGGTTCTGTTCCTGTTCTAGTTGTTGGCTTAGTTTGCTTTTGTTTTAGGTGTGGTTGTTAGTAACTGTGAGTTTGCTGTCTTTTTACTGTTCATATTTTTTATCTAATAGTTTTCTTTTTGAGTAGAACAAGGTAATCTCATTTAGCATGAAGTAATCATCTGATGAGTTCTGGAAGTAGGATTAAACTCAATTATAAGCTTCATTACATATTATAAAACTTTCCCATTAATGATAGCTAAAATTATAAATTTTGCTAGAGATTCAAAAATATTATTTTCCAATTTTGTCAAATTTTTCCAACTTTGTCAAAATAAACTACATTTTCCTTTATAAGCATATGAGAATCGAAGTAAAGAGAGCTAGAAATGTGTGAACTGAAAATCTAGAGGGTATCATTGGTATTCAGCAGGCTAGGCCTCATGACAATGGCTTGACAAAGCCTTGACACTAAAAGTACTTATATCTGCTGTCAATCACGCACTCCTTGACATGTCAAGTGCACATCCTTTCAGGGACAACTTCAATCAACACGAACACTCAAAATAGAGTACACAATGTCACTGCTTCAGAAATGAGCAGAAAAATAAAATGTGTTAGATGCCAGGAAAAGAAAGACAGAAAGGAGACCAAATCCAAACGGAAAGTGAATAAAAATCATGGAGCAAGCTGGCAGGCTCAATTCAGTCAGTTTACATAGATTTCTTTTTCTGGGAAAAATATTCTCTTGCCATATGTCCTACAAGAGAAAATTTGAACAACATATCATAATGACTGACGGGGTCCATCCTATAATGAACCTTGGAGCTCTGAAAAGTAGAGCCCGTTTGTGGAGGGAAAGATGCCTTGACGTGGTTCTAAGACATGAAAAGAATCTGAGGCAACAGTGTGCTCTTCTCCATTATTCTCTCCTTCACATTGTACTTCTCTTTCTTCTTCTCTTTCTTTTTTTCTTTTTAACCTTGTTCTCCCTTTCACTCTTTCCTCCTCTTTTTTCTCATTCTCTTAGTGAGGTGGAGTGAAAGAACGTGAGGCCTGGAGTCAAACACCCCTCGGTTCAAATCATTACTTAGTTATATGATAACTCTGGGCAAGTTATTTAACTTTTCTAAACCTCATCTTATACATGTATAAGTACGTACAATAACCTACATGTTTTTTGCAGAGCTGCTGTTTAGACTGAATGACAATGTTTCATTTATCAATGATTGGCACAAGAAAGTATTCACTGTACACCTATTTCTCTCCTCTATGATCCCATTGATTCTGATTTGAAAATGGTGCCCATTGTGGTTTCTTGGCTTCACTGAGAGAACTAAAGGGAATGATTTGGAAGCTGTCTTCAGAACATAAGAGGAAAGATAAGCAAGGATACCAGGAGCCCAGTCAGGCTAAGAAAACGTTTACTTTACAAATCATGACCTAGGACCCATCGATTTGCTAATCTTACTTTGGCTGGTAATTCTTCCATTGGTTTTTGTCAGCGGCAACAAAAGATTATGCATGTTTGTGGCCTCCTCAAATTACATTAAAAAATACACTTTGCAGGCATTACACAAGCTTAGGCCCCAGAAGAGTTTTATAAAAAGTGGCAGATGAAGAGCAAAATTATCAAAAGCATTTTTCCTACTCGTGGCCGCAGGCAGTTTTCATTACTATGACCTGATGAGCCATAAAAGTTGGAGCAATCGGACACATTCTAGAAAGAAAAAAACCTCCTAATTTTTAAAAATGTAAGGGCAAATGTAGACAATGCTTTGGGCTAGCACTTATTTTAAATGCCTTTCACTAAAATAACTTTTGTCTTATTTTCAATTACCCAATAGGCAAGCCCTGTATTTGAAACTGGATTATTGTTATTGTTATTATTTTTTCCCAACTCCACTGACTTCACTGGCCCCCCACCCCAGCAGACCTTAAAAGATCAGTGGCCTTGTGTGGGTGTCTTGAATAGAGAAAGGTAAGATTATGAAGTCCAAGAAGGGCATGTTTCTCTACTAAAGGGGGCAGGTTTCTATTTTAGCCAAGTTCAGCAGATAATTGAGTATACAGAACTCATATGCTTTTTTCATTTTCAATTGGTATCCTTACCTTCCCCCTCCTTTGTTATATGTGTTATTAAACATTAAAGCCAAGAACTGCCAAAAGCCACAAAGAATTCATTCCCCCCCTGAGATTAAAAGAGGAAAGGAAACATTTTTATTTTCATCTAAAATAGTGATTTAAGTACTCAAATTTCATACTAAACTAATCTGCCTAAACATGTAGATTAGAAGCTACTTAACAGCAATAGCATCAGAAAGGGAAGTTCTCATCACCCTGGGCAGTTCACACTAATAATTAGAAAGAAAAAAGGAAAGCTGTGAATTACAATGAACAAAAACGAAATAAGTGTCCATGTTGGATTAAAGGATTTGAGTTGACAGTCTGAAGTATAATGAATGTGAAAATCAGCCATTTAATTAAATGGAACATGGTACAATCACTCTGCTCTGCATTAAATTGCTTACGTTATCAGAATGCCTTTAGTTTAGCAACTGTTTACTACTACAGCACCCAAAGACTTCTCTCAGACACTGTTTAACCTACATTATTCCACATTTGAGATCTGGGGCTTATATAATAATTTAGTTTAGTTGCTATATTTCATCAGTTTACTAGTGAATGTGGAAAATAGGAAAACTGCTTTTAATCACAAAGAAAATAATCTTAGATGTAGTGGGTGAAAAAAAGAAAACCCAAGAACATAAAAAGTCTGCAAATATCTTTAAGAATAAAGTAGTATTTTCCTATACACTTTTATTTTAATAACTTAGACTTTAAAAGTATTTTCTAATATGCCTATAATTATAAAGTGTCCAAAAACTAGTTTTCGTTTTGAAGAACATGGAAATTTTACCGGTGAGCAAGAGCACCGAGGTCCCTGCCAACACATGAAATAGAACAGCTGGGAGTACCTATCAACCTGAAAGATGTCACGTGACTGTGTATGTACTGTGTGTTGGTCTAGGAAGAGAAGAAAGCACAAACATGACAAGAAAAGAAGGTTGAGAAGGCCCTCACGGTCAGTAGGAATTGAAGAAAATAAGAACATCCTGAGGATATGAGGAGAATAAGGCTTGACTAGAGACGAAATCACCCAGACGCATAAGGTTGAAGCCATGTACTCACAGCTACCGCAATCCTTCCGAGGACGTGCTCTGGAATTTTTCTGTACACATCCAAAGACCCCCCTGCAGAGACAAACACGCTGTGTTAACACCAAATGAAATTCCTAGAACAGCACACCAGGCCGCTCCTCTGTGCATTCTTCGCAAGAAAATGTTTTTCTCATCTTATGCATTAAATGTCTGGGGTAAAATTGGGTTTTGTCCAATTTTATTTATAACAGGGGTGTCAAACTCATTTTTATAGGGCCACATCAGCCTCGCAGTTGCCTTCAAAGGGCCAAATATAATTTTAGGACTGTGTAAATGTAACTACTTCTCAACTAGGAGCTCGGTGCTGCCACTGGGCAGAGACAAGGTGCCGGGCCAGATAAAACAAGGTGGAGGGCTGGATAAAACAAGGTGGAGGGCCAGATTCAGCCCATGGGCCTTGTGTTTGCCCCCTGTGATTTATAACATAATCATGCTTCCAGATGAAGTGTAACTAGATACTTCCATTTCATTCCCAGGTATATAATCATATACATACAAATACTGAAGAAAACTAACTAGTCAGCAGCAGGCTAAGAAACTACATGTAAATTTAAGTACATATACAAAGCGGAAGATCAACAGGACAGTCACATTTAGGTATCTGTCTGTGTAAGAGTTTTCTCAAACGTAAACTGGAACCTGATCTTAAACTTACCGTTAACCAAACAAAAGTTGGTGAATGTAAGATCCAAAATGCACACACAAACTAACAAAGTACTAATGTTAACATCTACCTAAAAGAACATTACCCTTCAAATTACTTACCAAGACAAGCAATCAATGACTTCCAAAGATACTATCTCAGTTCAAAATGGGTTTCATTCTTATTTTTTGAAATTCTCTTTGATAAAACTTTGAAAACCACTTTATGGGATAAAAAAAAAAACAACCAATCTCCTATGTCATAACGTTTTTCACTGAAATGGCATTCACTAACACCTTCAACCTTGACCAGTTCAGCTTCTAGCAGTTTCTAAAAACCCAAAGGACAAGATGAGGTACATCACAAAGGCAAGGGCCATGCTGGTTGCTTGTTTGTTTTTAATTTCCATCAACCTAGAAGTTAGCACAACTAGCAAATAAGGGATATTCAATAAATATCTGAGAGATGAATAAATACATAAATAAAAGGCCCTGGCTGGCGTAGCTCAGTGGACTGAGTGCGGGCATGCGAACCATAGTATTGCGGTTCGATTCCCAGTCAGGGCACATGCCTGGGTTGCAGGCCAGTTTCCAGCAGGGGACACATGAGAGGCAACCATACATTGATATTTCTCTCCCTCTCTCCTTCCCTTCCCCTCTAAAGATAAATAAATAAAAATCTAAAAAAAAAAAAAACATAAATAAAAATCACCACGAATTTCACCAGATAAGCACAGTTGCTCTCAGATTTGTTTAATAAGAAGAGACTGTGAACCATGTGCAGCACCAATAGCATCACTGAAATAACTGCATAACTTTCCTCAGTAACTATTTTAAAGAAATCAATATTCACTTGAAAGTATAAATTTGGGTAGGCTCATTAATTTTAGGCAGATATTCAAAGAACCACTACTTACTCCTATTAATGATGTGATGACCTGAGAACTGTTTAACAATATGTACTAGCTTTCCTTTCAGTCAAATTTAGGTGTTTAGTCTTTCAGTTTACAACAGAATTATCCAGGATATTTGAGAAATAACTTTTTTCTATCAGAGGTTAAATATGAATTTTTAACCTCTACTATACTATAGTATACTACCAGATGATTTAAAAATATACTTCACAAAGGATTAGTATGGAAGAAGATGTTATTCTACTGAAATGAACTCATCTAATTTGCAAAAAAAAAAAAATTACATGTCAAGGTTTTCTAAAGCTGAAGTCAGAGAAAAATATTAAATATTTTTCCTGTAAATTATACAAAAAAGGTACTGGTTTTATATTTATCCTGTTTAAAGCAGGAAAATGATCACTTCTTTAGGTAACTTTGCCTTGTAGTTTCCAGATTCTGACCAGACGCCAGAAAGCCAAAGCATGACTAAAACCTGTGCTTTGGGAATTCCACCAGGATGGAGGTGTAGGTGGAAACACTTTGCCTTCTTGAACAACCAAATCTAAAAACAACAAAGTTATAGCAACAATAAATGCAGTCAAACCACAGAAAATCGAACTATATGGAAGTCTGACAACGAACCCTTCAGCCAAACCGGTAAGAGGGGCAGAGCCAACAGCAGAGCAGGGTCAGGCAGGAAAGACCCACTGGACCGACTCGGGTGTGCTGGCAGCCGTGGGTAGATCCCAGGTGTGGAGTACTGGGCGGACCCACTGAGGGCTGACCAAGGTCTCACATTCGCGCGCGGATAAACCATAAACCAGTGAAAGAGCCATCAGTGAGAATGCCAGCAGTGAGATGGACCGCGCAGGGCCCAGCAGTGAGAAGCGGCAGAGGGGACCGCTATTGTCCCTCTCTGACCCCACCCCCACATACAGCATCACAAACCAGCAACCTGGGCGGCCTCGCCCTGGTGAACACCTAAGGCTCCGTTCCTCATACCTCATACCCATAACAGGCGCGAACAGAGCAAAACATTATGGCTCAAGAAGAACAGCTCAAAGCCCCAGAGCCCATAAATCTAAGTGAGGAAGAAATAGCCAAACTTTCAGACGCACAGTTTAAAACACTGGTGATCAGGATGCTCACAGAACTGGTTGATTTTAGTCACAAATTAGAGGAACATATGGAAGCTAAACTAATTGAAATGAAGGGAAATACACAGGAAACCAATAGTAATGGAAAAAAAACTGGAACTCAAATCAAAGGAGTGGACCAGAAGGAGGAAAAAAAATGACCAAACAAAAGAATGAAGAAACAAAAATTCAAAAAAATGAGGAGAGGCTTAGAAACCTTCAGGACATCTTTAAACGTTCCAACATCCAAATTATAGGGGTACCAGAAGGGGAAGAGGAATACCCATGAGTGGAAAACTTATTTGAACAAATAATAAAGGAGAATTTCCCCAATCTGGAAAAGGAAATAGACTTCCAGGAAATCCAGGAAGCTCAGAGAGTCCCAAAGAAGTTGGATCCAAGAAGGAACACACCAAGGCACATCATCATTACATTAGCCAAGATTAAAATGAAGGAGAGAATCCTAGAAGCAGCAAAAGGTAAGGGAACAGTCACCTACAAAGGAGTTCCCATCAGACTGTCAGCAGATTTCTCAAAAGAGACCCTACAGGCAAGAAGGGGCTGGAAACAAGTAATCCAAGTCATGTAATCCAAAGACCTATATCCAAGATTGATCTCTCCAGCAAAGCTTTCATTTAGAATGGAAGGACAGATAAAGTGCTTCTCAGATAAGATCAAATTCAAGGAGTTCATCATCACCAAGCCCTTATTATATGAAATGTTAAAGGGACTTATCTAAGAAAAAGAAGATAAAAAAGATGAACAGTGAAAGGACAGCAAACTCACAGCTATTAAGAACCAGACCTAAAACAAAAGCAAACTAAGAGGACAGCTAGATCAGGAGCAAACCATAGAAATGAAGATCACATGGAAGGGTAGCAACAGGGGAGTGGGAGGAGGAGAAAAAGGGAGAAGGTACGGAAAACAAGTAGCACAGACAGTAGGTAGAAAGTAGGGGGGAGGGCAAGAATAGTAGGTGAAATATAGAATCTAAAGAACTTGAGACACATGGTCATAAACTAAGGGGGGGGAATGGTGGGGGAAGGGGTGTGCGAGGGAATGAAGGGGGGAATAGAACAACTGTAATAGCATAATCAATAAAATATATTTAAAAAAATAAAAATAAAAAAATAAAACCTGTACTTTGGCTCTGCGTACTGCTGGGAAGACACTGAAAAAACACACTTCCATAAGGAGCTGAACCATCTTTATTTACTAAAATAGCATTCTTATTATAGATGCAATGAAAGTTAAAGTATGACAGAAAAAATGTTATGTTCTCATTGATCTTTCAGGTGAATTGGCTGTTGCAATGATGAACAGTTTCAAGAAGATCAAGCTTCATGTGTTGGTATTTGGAATACTGATAAATGCAGTTTGTTGCACCAATCCCTTATGAAGTGAATAGCTTGAGTGGCCCAAAACTAGGAGGTGTAAATTCACTCACATATACTAGTAAGTCCTAAGAGGAAATAAAAATTTTACATAGGATATAAATCAGGGCTTAATTATAATTAGCTGAATGGACAATATTCAATAAGCTAAACAAAAAGCCAAAGATTATATTAGTACCATTATCAGTAGAACAAGTGAAAAGAGAATCCTATTTTGAGGTAGTTCACTGGTTTTTGTAAATGTCCATTTAATCTGTTACATCCTACTCTCCTTAGCCATCCATACAGGTAAATATTTACACCTGTCTTTGTGTCATCACAGATTCATCCTGTCCTTGACATACTTATTAGAGACAGTCATCATTCAGAGGCAAAATGAATGAATGAATGAATGAATGAATGAATGAAGAGAAAAGAAAAAATGCAGCAGATCCATTCAGAATCAAGAGTTCCTGTTAAGCCTGATGAGTTCTCTTTGTGCAGTTAAATAATTTACTAGGTTAACAGTGGCAGGAGGCTTTCAGTTAAACTTTTACAGTGCTACTGAGTAATTTCTATCCTATAGGCCTATTCCCCAAAGGCAATTTTTAGATTCATCAAGCCATCAAACATTCATGCTGAAGGGGCACTAAAGGTCACTGCAATGACTTTATTTGACAGGTGGAGGAAACTGTGTCCCAGAGAAGCGAGTATTCTAGCCATGACCATGAGTCAGTCAAAGGCAGAGCTCAGAAAAGTTCTGAGTGTTTGAACTCCTAGAACTGCTAAGGTCTGAAAGGTTTCCTTACAACATCACATAGCTTGAGAATCACATGCAAACGTTTTATAGTTTAAAAAGTCTCATTGAAGTGTGCTATTATGACATACAAGAGCTCTGTCTGGAGAAAGTCCAGCCATTGTTATTATAACGAGAATGGTCTGCATGACATCAGTGTAACCTGGCAACCAAGGAGCGTGGACTGGAATGC